GGGGGGGGGGGCGGACACTGTTAAAAGTATATATTTTCTCCTATAAATCATATAAATTTCTTTTCGTCCGGGGGGGGGGGGGTGCGGTAAATTTTTTTTCGGGGAAGAGATGCCTGGAAGAAACTCTGAAACCAACCGACTCACACTCATATCAATTGTACTCTTCTTCACACAACCAGGCCTACCATTCTCACTATTATTACGACTACGACGTATTTGTCAGAATAACGACTTTTGGAACAAGATTAGTGAGCTATTACAATTCTTCCGAATCCTGTCATACCCGGAGCATATACTCCAGTCAGCACTACACCGCATAAAAGCTGTTGACCACAAAGCCTCCCTTCTACATTTTCCAAAACAAAAGTCAGATAGAACTAAACTAATCTTACCCTACAATCCTCATTCGGTTTTAGCTAAAATATCATTATAAAAAATTATTCTATCCTTAAGTCATGCCCCCATTTAGACTTTATTTCAACCTGTCATTGTACCTATTTTTGGATATAAAAGTTCAACATTTATATCAATTGTAAGATTTTGAAAATAACGTTAATGCAAACATTTTTAGAAGTAAAAATTTCATTTTCATGTTATCTTGTGTTTTATTATCTTTAGCGCAATTTCCATTCTGGAGAATTGCGTTTATTAACCCGTCATTTCTGGATGTATGAATGTATGGATGTGTGTCCGCAGCTTTAAGTCGTATCTCCTCCTCAAAGAAGCAATATCGAGGACTAGTTCCAAAGCAATTATGTTAAGCAAGTTACGAGGATGATAGTGGGTTAAAAGAATTCCGGAATTCCTTCCTGGATTTCCTGGAAAAGCCAAAAAACCTCGAAAAAATGCAGTTTTTGGCCCATATCTCGGAAACCAGACCACTTAGCGACTTGAAACATTTACCAATCGATTTCTGTCATAATTTAGAACAATATTGCCGAAGAAAGTTTTCAAAAATATCCTTTCGTTCGGTCACAAAAAAATTTTTAATTAATTAAAACGAGCCGACCCGCTGCGTATCATACGCCGCTATTTAGTTGTTTTTTTTTCTACTTTTCAGTAATTTATAATTTGTGAATTCGACAGTACCAATGCTGCCATTGAAAATATTTGCTTAAAAACACTAACCCCCCCCCCCCCCCCCCCACGTGAAAGCAGCCTCCTCTTAGTTACCTCCTCTAAGTTTAAAATCGTTTATCTGCCCCTAATAGCCGTCACCAAACCCGTCTCTATGATTGTAAAATGTAAACAGAGTGAACACCGCTCACCAGATCATGTGTGGGGTGGGGTGGGGGTGGTAGTGATAACGATTGAGAGGAATAGAGGGGAATGCAAAGGCGCGCTTGCAGCTTGTTTTCTAACTGATCCCAGAAGAGAATTATATATACGAGCCGACCCGCGGCGTATCATACGCCGCTATTTAGTTGATTTATTTTCTACTTTCAGTAATTCATAATTTGTGAATTCGACAGTACCAATGCTGCCACTGAAAATATTTGCTTTAAAACACTAACCCCCTCCTTTCCCCTAACCCCGACCCTACACCCCCCCCCCCCGTGAAAGCAGCCTCCTCTTAGTTACCTCCTGTAAGTTTAAAGTCGGTTCGAACTTAATTATCTGCCCCTAATAGCCGTCACTAAACCTGGCTGTACGGTTTGTAAACATTAACGTGACCACAGCTCAGCAGACCATGTGGGGGTGGGGTAGGGTGGTAGTGATAGTGATAGAGAGAAAGAGAGGGGATTGTAAGGAGGCGCTTGCAGCTTGTTTTCTAACGACTCGCAGAGGAGAATTATATATATACGAGCTGACCCGCTGCGTCTCATACGCCGCTATTTAGTTGTTTTTTTTTCTACTTTTCAGTAATTAATAATTTGTGAATTCGACAGTACCAATGCTGCCATTGAAAATATTTGCTTAAAAACACTACCCCCCCCCCCCCCCCACGTGAAAGCAGCCCCCTCTTAGTTACCTCCTCTAAGTTTAAAATCGTTTCAAACTAAATTATCTGCCCCTAATAGCCGTCACCAAACCCGTCTCTATGATTGTAAAATGTAAACAGAGTGAACACCGCTCACCAGATCATGTGGGGGTGGGGTGGGGATGGTAGTGATAGTGATAGAGAGGAAGAGAGGGGACTGCAAAGGCGTGCTTGCAGCTTGTTTTCTAACTGATCCCAGAAGAGAATTATATATATAGATAGATTTGGACCGAATTAGTAGGCATGTTTATCCAACCATACCACACGCGTCATCACATTCAATAGCTGCGCCATCACGTTCAATGGCTGCGTCATCACGTTCAGTAGCTAGGCGCGCAATGGTTTTTAGTCATGTAACTCTATTGTAAATAAAACATGTATTTTAACCAATGGTTTTACTAATCCTGCTCTTTATTTACGCTACGACAGAGCTATTTTTAGATAACATAAGGAAATTGCGCTAAAATTGTCACTAGACTTTTTAATTACCTTGTTTCAGCTAATGGATAAATGACACATTTAATAGAGATTAAAAACTAAAGCTGTAGTCCAACGATACCACATCTTTTGTCTTAAGTTATTGTTCTTTTGTTTTATTTTGACTAATTCTTGAACATAATACATTTATATACATATATAGAGCAGCAGACTGTGGAAAAGATGGTGTGTAAATTCGATAATTTAATTGAATCAGGCATTACTGTAAGCACCAGCGTTTATGTTTGTGTTAATGTTTATGTTCGCCTTATGTTTGCGTGTGTGTTTTCCTTTTATGTTAGGTTGCATGTTTGCGTTAGTTTTTGCGTTTGCGTTACATTTCCAATTGCATTTGCATTTTTGTTTGCATTTGTGTTTTTGTTTCTGTTTGCTTTACGTTTGCGTTTTTGTTTATGCTTTGAGTTTGTGTTTGCGTTTGTGTTTGTGTTTGCATTTGTGTTTGCTTTTGTGTTTGCTTTTGCGTTTGCGTTTGTAATTGTCTCTACTTTTGTGATAGCGTTTGTTTTTTGGTTTGTGTAATTTTATATATATATATATATATATATATATATATATATATATATATATATATATATATATATTATGGGCCTTTAATATTATAATTTGGAGAGTGGTGAGATAGCGATAGCTATATCAATAGACATAAAGATAAGGAACGAGAAGGAAATTGGACAAGAGATAAGGAAATTGTGTAATGGATACGGATAATTATAGTGATAAGAATAGGGATAATTATCCGAAGATATTCTACGAACTGTCAGTACATTACACAGTGAAGATAATGTAAATCTATTAGATCGAGATCTAGATCGTTGACAGACTAGTTAGAGGGAGCCTAGTCTGGTCTGTTAATTCTTTCTTTAGCAGTTTAATTGACTGGACACAAACGATCAGGTAGGCAAATATTGATCTAGAATCTAAATGTAATCAGCCTAACTAAAGTATAATATAGGCCTAGTTGTTAGGTCTAGATCTAGTTCTTTGGCCTACAACTTAAAACTGCTAATTACTTAAACTACTAGTGTTTACAACTGAGTATTTCACTACGCCAACGGTAGGCCTCATGTTATAGTATTACAGAGTTATAAAACTCTAGAGATCGAGTATTTTCTTTTTAGAATTAGTATTAGTTTTAGTATAAAAATTAAAAATAAACTATCACTATTGATAATTACATTACTCGTATTAGTATTAAAGTATGAGCTAGTTAGTAGAATACAAAAAAGAAGTTTTTGAGTTTTTTTACCCAGAAACCACATGTGATAGCTAGAGGAGAATACCTGCTTACTATTGTTATTGACACATGTTAATGGTGATAGCTGACACATGTTGATGCTATCAACTTTCAGTAACAGATTGTACTTTTGGTATTTTGTATCTATATTGTATCTAGCATAAAATTTGTATCGAAGAAAATACCTGGCCAACGAAAGGATTTTGTGAGCGAATTATCATGTTTTCCATGCTTTTTGTTTATCTAGTTTAGAGGGGAAGGGGTGTAGGAAAACAAGTACATAGAACACAAATAATGGTTAACACATTTTGAATAAAACAAAAAACTGGCTGTAAGACTTTGTACGGACGAATAGGAAGCATTGAGCTCAGCTTTTGTTTTCCAAAATTGGATTTGGGAACTCTTTCACAGTGGTGAATGTTTCCAATTAAGAATTCTGGTTGAAGCGTGTGGGTTTGTGAGGTATGTCTAAGTTTCTATTTTCAACAAATGCAGTGGTACCTCGACATATGAGTGCCCCGATACGAGCTGTCGAGTGAGCTAAAATTTGCAGATTTGCGGGTTTAGCAGAGCTATTAAAATGAGATTTCTCTAACTCGTTTCTGAAATATTCTAAAAGGTAGGACAAATAAAACTCCTTGGACGTGATTATTTTAACGGCCTTTAACATAATTTCAGTTCAATTATGTTCGGTGAATTTTAACTTCAGTTAAGTTTAGGGATACAGTGTGTAACTAGTAAGTGAATTAAAGTGAACAAAAGAGCTTAACATTAACAGTGAGTAAGTGAACAAAGTGAAGCTCCTCCGCCTATCTCCTCCACCCTAGACTGGGCCAACACATCCACCAGCCTTTTCCTTAAGCTCAATTCGGTTTATTTTTTTTAAAGGAAATGCAATTTATCTAACCAGTTTAATTCTTTGCATTGCCTCTATTATGTTATTGACGATATTTGTCATGTATAAATACTTTTTTTATTATAAAACACAAAAACAACTATGGTGGCTTTTTCGTGGCTGGAACAGATTCATGGCATTGCAATAGATTTCAATGGAACAAAATTCTTTGAGATACGTTCACTTTGAAGGAACTAATCAAACTATTACCGCTAACTCATAAATTGTAGTAACTAAATCAAATATGGCCAGATTTTTTAAAGCAAGTTGCACTCTATTCTGCGGTAACGTTTGAATCTAAGACAACCTGCTTCTGTTCTGTTTTCAGCAGAACCTCAATCTACTTATTCTATTACTTTAAAACGTACTTTTTTTTCTTTCCTATATGCCAGAAAAAAAAATGGACACTAGTGGCCTGGCCAGGGTAGCGATTGTCCTTGTTTACCTGCTCTCTGTTGGCAAAGGTATGTCGGGAAGATACAATATACATGTTATTTTGAAAATTATTCTACTTATTGTATAACATGTTTATTAATTTTCAAAGCGTAAATAATTTCTCGTCTTTTTTCTTAAACTAAGATTTTATGACATTTAACGAAACATTAAATTTGTAAGGATATTTGCATAAAACTACATAATAAAGCATACCTTCTGTCTCGCTTCTACTTATATGTGCACAAATATTTTTTTTTTTAAATAGGAATACAAATTGCTTTAATAACAAACGTTTGTATAACTATATATAAAAGGGATAAATTAAATGATTTTCAGTAAATATATTATAATACACCATTAGTTTTTTTGTTCTAAATTTACGAGAACAAAAGTATCAGATTTTTTTTCCATCATGAAAATATTCGGTAGCTTTATAGCCAGACAAAACGCCCAAGCTATACTGTGATAACTGTTGCCTAGCTGTCATCGCTTCATGTCAAACACTGTTTATTCACGTGAGCTCTGCCTAAAATAAAATAAAAATGTTCTTGATTGACCTTGCTTAATCTATAAAATACGACCAGTAAGTATGTTATATCAGGTTAGCTTTCTTTGATACATCTGTAAATCTATAGTGGACTGATCACGCATTCGAAAATAATATAGTGACATATCTTTTATTGTAATTATGGGCATATTTTCAAAAGCATTTTCTTCTTGCCATTTTTCATAACACCATATATATTCTTTTATATATATATATATATATATATATATATATATATATATATATATATATATATATATGTGTGTGTGTGTGTGTGTGTATATGCAGTAGCCCCCCAAAAATGTCCTCTGGGGTCCCCGCTCTAGCTTAATCGGCCCCTGCATATTATAGAATTTAATTTAGGTTGCTATGATGGCATGCTAGAAATTGTGTTTCTAAATTAGTGTAACATTACCTTCTTGTAATGTTTATTTTCATCAAACCAGCGGACCCCTTGTACAGCATAGAGACGAACCACTCCTCTCCATCATACCCCGTGTATTTTACCAAAATTACACAATTTTTTTACATTATTTGTTGCTATCTGATTAATTTTACCAATATTAAAAGATCTTATGTAGACATTTTGAGCTTCTGAATTAGGAGGCAAAGATTCAAACCCATTATTGCAACAATACTATTTTTTATTGTCACAAGCAATTATTAAATACATTACATTACTGTGGAGGACGGGGCAGAATGTTGAAAGAACTTGCCCCAAATACAAAAACATTACGTGTCATGATGTTGAACTTTATCTTCACCTTTATGAGCCATGTCAGAAGAAACAAAGGTGTAAAGAAAGGGAATGTAGTGAGGTCCATGTCAGAAGAAAGAAAAGTGTAAAGAAAGGGAATGTAGTGAAGATTATGTCAGAAGAAACAAGGTGTAAAGAAAGGGAATGTAGTGAAGATTATGTCAGAAGAAACAAAGGTGTAAAAAAAGGGAATGTAGTGAAGTCCATGTCAGAAGAAACAAAGATGTAAAGAAAGGGAATGTAGTGAAGACCATTTCAGAAGAAACAAAGGTGTAAAGAAAGGGAATGTAGTGAAGACTATGTCAGAAGAAACAAATGTGTAAAGAAAGGGAAAGTAGTGAAGACCATGTCAGAAGAAACAAAGGTGTAAAGAAAGGGAATGTAGTGAAGACCATGTCAGAAGAAACAAAGGTGTGCTTTTTAGTTCAATCAGAAAACGTGGGTTTTTAAAAACTTTTTTAATGATAATTATTTACTATAAAATTTGGATTTGTTTTCACCACCCCCCTAAAAGCTTTAAAGTGTTCACAATTAATACTAATGATTGTCCATATAGCCGGTTATTAATACGACTGGGTGTAACATTGTTTTCTCTATCGTTTGCATGTTTACCTCATAGTGTCACCTTACCACAATTTGCTTAAAATGACGAACCAAGATAATCTCACAAAGTTTGTGGTTCCCAGGGCTCTCAAAATAAAGACAGTTGAAAAAGTATCTTACAACTTTGATAGACACATTTACCTTGTTTGTGGCACCATTGAATTTACAGTCCGACAACGTCGGGAATTTGCGAAGGTATACTGGGTCACTTTGAAGGTATACTGGGTCACTTTGAAGGTATACTGGGTCACTTTGAAGGTATACTGGGTCACTTTGAAGGTATACTGGATCACTTTGAAGGTATACTGGGTCACTTAGAAGATTGTACGTAGGAGGACGTACCACTCGCCAGGAAAGTTTCGGAAACAGTTAACCAAGACATCCAAAATATGCTGTCTACGTGGGTGCAAGATGAAAAACTGACCACTAGAGCGAGATAATACGAATTGTGCAACTTGTGAAAAAACAGGGCCTTTCATTGTGGAAATCATAGAACACATTATGAAGCTTTCTTTGGTTTTAAATATAAAGTGGTTTTCGCATCTAAGCTACCCCAAGATGTTTTACAAGACGTTGATAGTGAAGAGTCTTACTAGGCAGCCATGTGTTGTGTGTCTAAAGGAAATCATCTGCGCCAACACGTGCAGAAAGAGTTAATGCGATCTAAGAAAGATGTTGGCTGTGAAGCAGAGGCGTAGCGACCCTTCCCGGCGCCCGGGGACATACTTTCAATTTGGCGCCCCCCTCAGGAGCAAATTTTCGATTTGCACCCCCCCTCGAACTTTTGATTTGCACCACCCCCCCTTAAACGTTCGATTTGCACCTCCCTCGAACTTTTCATTTGCACCCTCCATCGAACTTTTCATTTGCACCCCCCCCCCCTCAAACTTTCAATTTGGCGCCCCCCCTGAGGTCGGCGCCCGGGGACATATGTCCCCCCCCCCGCCCCCCCCCCTCGCTACGCCTCTGCTGTGAAGTAATGGTACGTTATAAGGGCCATATTTGATGCATTATTTATTTCAACGGCGAGATTGCCCTAGAAAATAAGAGACAATCGAAAAAGAATCTGCATCTTTGGTGGACACTGTGCGGGTTTCTATTCCTGACGTATTCAAGGGAGGCGGGGACCACGGTATCTGCAAGCAGTGGCTATGTCAAGACAGAAGATAGCTTTTACTGACATGGAACAGTGCGAGGAATTTCGAACAAACTCTACGCAAGATCACAATTCCGTTTTTGTCCAGAGGGCTTGTTCAAGAATGAAGATGTTCCTGACCACGAAATACCTCTTCGATCTGCTGCTACTGCTCAGTCCACATGAACTAGCTAAGGATTTTTTAGTGTATGTGCAAGACAAAATGCTTAAAGATTAAATAACCTTGCATAAAAAACAAAATTAAGTGCAATTCAAATTGCCATTCTTTGTTTAATTTGTATTGTTTCTTTCATTTTTTACTGTTACTAAAAGCATTTGGAATCTGGGCAATTCATAATTTGCCCTAGCAGTTCTTGTCATTCTTTATAATGCCTAGGCAGTTTATATGATGAATAGGGAAATTATGTAACAACACCGATATTTCAAACAATGCCTGAAGACATCAGGATTGTATACCTTGCCTAATCATTCTATAGAATTTCGGGTTTTCAAAAATTGTTGGTAACATAAATAAAAATATAACAATAGAGATGAACTGTAAATAATGGAATAAAAAAAAAATAAAAAAAAAAAAAAAAAATATATATATATATATATATATATATATATATATATATATATATATATATATATATATATATATATACATATATATATATACATATATATCTAAACAAATGAGAACAATTTCATGAATGTTTTTATAAATATCATTAGGCTGTGATGACGCAAGAGTTGATCTTGTGTTTGTTCTTGATGCCTCAACCAGTGTAACAGTCCCAAATTTTGAGATGATGAAAGACTTTATGAAAGATTTACTCTTTGACGCTAATGTTGACAATGGCAAACTTAGGGTAGGTGTTATAATTTACAGCACAGTGGAATATATTCAGTTCCAACTGAAAGATTTTTCAATGAAACAACATGTATACAATGGTGTTGATAGCATTCAGTATCGCTATGGCAACACCAACACTGCAGATGCTTTGAAAACAATGAGGACAGTAATGTTTACTGCAGAGAATGGAGATCGTCCAGGTGTTGACAACATTGCTATTGTGGTGACTGATGGTGTCTCCGATATCAACAACAAAAGAACCATACCAGAAGCTGAAGAAGCCAGAGCACAGGGTATTCACATCTATGCTATTGGTATTGGTCTGACAGAGACCAAGGAGCTGGATGGTATTGCCAGCAAGCCAGTGGAAGAAAACACATTTTTTGTACAAGACTTTTCAGAGCTCGTAGATCTTAGAGATAAAGTTTTCTCTGCTATGTGTAAGTTTTCAAATTTTAATAATTTTTGGAGCCAATTATCGATAAAGCAGTCTTTATTGTTAACATCACTATACAAATAATATGCATTTTAGGGACTATATTAATGAAGTTCTTATGTTAATAAGCTAATTTTTTAATACCAGGTTCAACATCTGCACCTATTCGAACTGAACCACCACCACCCCCAATATCTACAGTAAAAGCTGTTGTTAGTAAGTATTTGATCACAATTTTATGTAACAATTTTTTTGGTGTATTTCAATGTGTCACTAGAAAGAAAATTGTGGTCAACAATGTTTTTATGATTATTATAAAAGAATCACAACTTGTGATTTGTCCCTGCATGCAGTAAACATTTGATCCAGTCTTCTCATGTAAAACAGTTTTTTTTTAACATAAAACCAGTGTTTGTTATAACATACTTAGCCTATTAAGTCTATATAATAAACCGGGTGTGATTTCCCCTAAACTTTCTCAAATATCTATATATATAATTCTCTTCTGGGAGCAGTTAGAAAACAAGCTGCAAGCGCCTCCTTGCAGTCCCCTCTCTTTCTCTCTATCACTATCACTACCACCCCCACCCCACTCCCACATTGTCTGGTGAGATGTGGTCACGCTGTTTACATTTTACAATCATGAAACGATTTTAAACTTAGAGGAGGTAACTAAGAGGAGGCTGCTTTCACGTGGGGGGGAGGAGGGGGGTTTAGTGTTTTTAAGCAAATATTTTCAGTGGCAGCATTGGTACTGTCGAATTCACAAATTATAAATTACTGAAAAGTAGAAAAAAAACAACTAAATAGCGGCGTATGATACGCAGCGGGTCGGCTCGTTCTTATATAAAACAACAGGGGACGGCAATATGGGATATAGACATGATTTTTAATCCATTTTAAATACTTTAACTTTTTAAAATAGAACAGAATCTCGTTAAAAAAATATTATGAACTCCAAACAAAATGTGCATAATAGTGCGGAATATTATTAGTACTTTATAAATTCACATGCGTTTTTTAAGAAATCGGAAATAGCGTAAATCACATCTTCTGGTCAACGTAAAGTACCAAAAATTTGACATCAGGCAGAGAATTAGCTCTATCACTTACTTATGAAAACTCACTTATCTATCTGAAATAGTATTCAAGTAATGGGCTTTTGAAAAATTCAGAGTAGAAAAAGTTTCACTTTCGGTTATTAGAAATTTTTCAAAAGTTGATACCAGTGTTTCTTCCAGACTTTTTTCTCCGGGGGGGCACTTGAAATTTTCGGGGGGGCGGTAAACTTTCTTCGGGGGGGCGGACACTGTTAAAAGTATTTATTTTCTATATAAATTATATAAATTTCATTTCGTTCGGGGGGGCGGTAAAAATTTTTCGGGGGGGCAAAGCCCCCCCCCCCCCCGAAGAGATGCCTGGAAGAAACTCTGGTTGATACTGATCTACGATTTTGTTCAAATATTTATATATGAAATTTCATCAACCTAGCTGTAACGGTACCCAAGTTATCGTGTTTACGGACACACACACGCACATCCACACACACAGTTATACACACACACACACAGACATACGGACAAGATTGCAAAACTATATTTTTCCAACAAATGGAGCTATAAAACGTCGAGATTTGCAAAAATCTCGACTTCTTTTTTTTTTGTCAATTACAATACTTTCTCTATACTTCTATATATGAGAAAGTAAAAAAGTTAAAAACACAAGTGTAACAAGACTTTCTTTAAGAAAAAATCATTGAGTAAACCGTTGCATGTTTAGAATACAATCCAACTTGATTTCAGTAACACAAATATAGGAACAAGAAATAAAAAGCAGTAGGCCCTATATTAAATAACCTCATTAAAAAATTAAATAGCTGTTTTGATTTTAGTTTGTCCTCTGAAAAGAAATGAGACATTTATACTAAAAATTATAACTAAAACAAAAAGAGGTAATAATAATGTCAAAATGTTTATGTTTTATTTTTTTTAATCAAAGGATTTTTTTAAATCAAAGAGCTACATTTAAATTTATGCAATGAAAAACTAAGTAGAAATCCTTTAAAGAAGACACTAAATTTTGCAAAAACGAATGTCGATTAAAAAGGAAAATTATTAAATAATAATATTTCCTTATTAAAAAAACTTTTTTCGCCATCTGTGTTGTTTGATTTATCATATTGAGAATGGAAAGTTTTGAAAATGTATCGGCTAAAATAAATGTTAAAATATCTTGAACAAATCTTAGCTGTGCTGATGCTAGGTTAGATCTTACGTTTAATCCTAGTGAATTGTAAAGCAATTTAAAAAACGATCTTCAATTGGCTATGTAAGAATGGTGTGTCAGAATAAACAAGTTAATAAAAAGACTAGTGACAATTTAAGCGCAATTTCCTTATGTTATCCATAACAATTTTTAATTTTTAATTTTTTGTAAATATCATCCTATAAATATAAACTCCTACACGATGCTCAGTTTAAATCATCCTAGGCCTACAAGATGCTCAGTTTAAATAATTTTAAAAAAATTTTTGTGACCGAACGATAGGATATTTTTGAAAACTTTCTTCGGCAATATTGGTCTAAATTACGACAGGAATCGATTGGTAAATGTTTCAAGTCGCTAAGTGGTCTGGTTGCCGAGATATGGAGCAAAAACTGCATTTGTTCGAGGTTTTTTGGCTTTTCCGGGAAATCCAGGAAGGAATTCCTGGAATTTTTTTAACAAACTCAGTTCATCATTTTCTACGCAACTTATTTATGTCGATATTTAACTAGATATCAATCAAAAGAAAAATTTTTTTTTAGTTGTTTTGAAGAATAAGAGTTTTTAAAATATCTCGATTCACCTAAAAACAAAAAGACTAAAATGTAAATGCTCTCTGACTCAAGCTGCTATTTGTATTCAAGCTATTGATAACTATCTTATTATGTTTGAATTACTTTTTGTCAGTGTCATAAGGCTAATGAATTACAGTTTTTATGCAAATAGTTCATGTTACTAGCCTAAGGTTATAATTACAGTAGTAAGTAGGTATTACGTTGTATATTAATGTCTATTTTTATAATGTATCGATTGTTTTTATTCTTAAATTAAAAATATGATTAGTACCTTATTTTTGAAAAACAAATCTCTAAACAGGTGGAACTAAATCACCTACAAAAGCACCAGTTAGTAGTAATTTTTTTTTATGTTTACATTGCTTACCTCCTGCCCTTTTTATTCATAATTCAAGAATCACCTGTTGTTTATCCCTGCATGCAGTAATCATATGTTCCAGACTTCTCATGTAAAACCGTTTTCTTTTACAAATTCAGTGTTTGTTATAACATATTTAGCCTATTATGTGTATTTAAAAAAGTTAAGAATACCAGTGCAACAAGATATTCTATAAGAGAAAAATATTGAGTAAATTGTAGCATTTTTAGAATACAATCCAACTTGATTTTAGAAACACAAAGTTAGGAAGAAAACAAAGGAATATAATCAAAAACCTCATTAAAAATTAGCTGTTTTGACAATAGGCTGTCCTCTGAAAAGAAATGACACATTTATACTTTTAAAAACAGCAAAAACAAAAGGACGATATAATTATGGTTTTAACAAACTGAAATTTACATTTGAAAATATCAAAATGTTTCTTTTATATTTTGCAAATCAAAAAGGGATTCCAATTAAAGTAGCTACATTTAAATTAATCCAATTTAAAAAAGAAATAGAAATCCTTTAAAGAGGTAAACACAAAATTTTGCAAAGATGAATGTTTTTTTTTTAAAGGTAAAATATTACATAATCTTTCCTTTTTTAACTCTATCGCAATCTGTATAGTTTGGTTCATCCTATTGGTGAATGGAAAGTTTTGAAAATGTATCAGCTAAAATAAAAAAAAAAAATCTAAGCCACATCTAAGCTAGGTTAGAGCTTGTGTCTGTTTTTAGTGAAATATAAAGTAATAATAAAATAAACTGTATTCTTGCTACGTAAGAATGGTGTGTCAGAATTAAAATTCTTTCTAAACAGTATTTATATTTGTATTTTTACTAGGAAAACATTCAGACAAATATTGTGTGTACATAAATGTACACCAGAGTATATATAGTTTGATTGATCATGTCGAGACAGAAATTTTTTAAAATGTATTTTACAAATCTAAAGCAATTTAATTAAAAATGTTAGGGCTGTGCTAATGCTAGGTTAGATCGTGTGTTTGTTTTTAGTGTAATGTAAACCAATTTTAAAAAACTAAACTTCATGCTTGCTTGTGGGAATGATGTTTTCTTACCTGCGCCCACGTGTGCTCACTGGCCTTTGTCTCTTCTTCTACAATTCATCTCCACTGTTTGCCAGAGTTTCTTCCAGGCATCTCCCCCCGGGAGAAAAAAGTCTGGAAGAAACACTGCTGTTTGCTAAATCACTTTCCTCCTTCCCTGGGGATTCCAGTCCAAATCTTTCCTCGATATATTATCCTTTTGTCTTCTCATGCATTTTCGTTTATGGGCTTGATGCCTTCGGTCTTTATATGACATTTTGTCTGGCCATCTTATGATGAGGTTATGTCGTAATTATCTGTTTGTGAACCAATGAAGCCTGTCTGTATATGCCTTGGTAAACTCCTAGGTCTGTGAGCCTTAAAGTAATACTTTAATATTCGAGGATTCTTATCTTGCTCTGGCTGCCACAATGTCAGTCAAAATAAATTAAACCATGTTACAATGTTTACATTTTAATAGGTCAATACAGTTTTTACATATACCATGCTACAGTAACATTTTTAAAAAGTTTACGCATATAATATTCTAAATAAATTAATTTAAAAATCACAATAAGTGAACCCCGTGTGCTTTTGTACTACATTAAATGTAGTTTTTTGCCACAGACATGCAAACACTACACAACATATGTGTGAGCGAGGACAGCTAACTAAACTAAACTAAAGAGTTTTGTTCAATGGCTTACACATACATACTTACCCCCCCCCCCCCCCCCAAATTGAAGACAATACCCGGTATCTTAATGGGGAGAATTTAGTAAAGATCTTTTCAGAAAAGCCTTACTGATTTAACGGTTTGTGGCAATGCCATCCAATTCTTTTGTGTCAGTCACCTTAATACCAATATCATAGACATGGATCTCTTAAGCTCGAGCTTCTTCAGCTTCTACTTACTGGTTCTCAGGTTGTTTATGTTTGATATACCATCAGTAATTACAACTGCAATGTTGTCAACACCTGGACGATCTCTATTCTCTGAAGTAAACATTACTGTCCTCATTGTTTTCAAACCATCTGCAGTGTTTGTACTTCCAAATCGATAAGGGATATTATCAATAGCGTTGTATACAGCTGCTTTAGTTTTGTGTGTGTTAAGCTGGAACTGGACATAGTTTTCTGTACTGTATATGATAACACCCACTCTAACACTGCCTTTATCAATGTCTGCATCCACAAGGAAGTCTTTCTTAAATTGTTTGATAAGAGCAAAGTTGGGCTCTCTTGAAATTGTTAAAATCATCAACCACTAAAATAAGATCCAGTCTAGCTCATGCGCAGCTCATAATAAATATCAAAGTATTTCACTTCATTTTACATTTGGTGTTTAATAGTTTTTATCTATGCAACTCTATTGTATTAAAAAATTTAAAGTGCTGAAAAAGCAGAAAACGCTTTAATTACAAACTTTTATATAATAATGCACTAAAAAGGAGAAATTAGTTTTTCCTTAAATATATAATAGTATATATTGAATACCTTTACTGATATTTAATAAGAGACCTACGTTTTTCTATTTTTTTTCCTTTTTCTTTTTTTTTTTAAACCGTAGTTTACTATTATGTGAGTGTGTGTACAGAGGCGTAGCAACCCATTTCAATTTTGTACCCCCCCCCCCCCAAATATTTATATATTTATTAACGTTAGTGAAAATAGACACCCCCCCACCCACCACCACACACACACACACATCAGTCACCGTTAACTGTTTTTTCCCATATCACAGAGCAGTCCTTAGAACCAAGTAGCATTTTATTTTCTTAAACTCGAATCTAATGTAGATCGGAATAAGCATGTTATTTTATTTTTCTACCCAATATGGCGTCCCCTTAAGGTCGGTGCCTAGGGCGGCTGCCCCACCCGCCCTCACCTAGCTACGCCTCTGTGAGTGAATGGTTTATTTGTTTTATTATTATATTTTTTAGATATTTAAATATTAGCACGTGTATAGTGTGCTCGCTTGTTTGGGTGTGTAGGGCTAACGTTCAGCGCGAACACACAAAAGGGGGCGAGGTGGTTTGTTATAGAAACACGTGTGATTTAAAACTGAGTAAAAGTAATATATATGTTTTTTGGCAATTTAGCTTAAATCTATATAGTCGCTAATAAATGACATTAAAAAGTTCGGTTTACAGCATCTTCAATGGAAAAAAAATTATTGGGTAAAAAAGCCTTTAAAATCGAGAGACATGCGCGATCTATCTTTCAATTAAGAACAATTTTAGATTGCTCACACAGCAATCTGTTCGGCAACCCCCCCCCCCACCAGACACACACACGCTATAAATAATAACACCTCAACAGCTAGATTATACAGCACAGATTTTGAAGCCTAGCTTGCTGTTGTGGGGGCAATTTACTCGCTTTCTCTTCTTATTATTCTATTAGTTTCCACACATATAGTTTGCTATTGTGATGAGGACGAGGTCGTACTTAGTTTCGTGCTCTCAATAAAACTCGAAGATCCGCTTGAAACACAACCTTTATTATTATGCATCTAATGCTTGCATATTATAGGATTTACGTTACTACACAATATACACTTATTGCCTACCCTACAGGTTAATGTTCTCTACACTATTCTCCCTACACTGTTTCCTAGCTCTACTCTTATCTACGTCCTTTCTCTACAACGTCTCAACCCTCGACTGTCCCCAACCCTAACTGTTCTACTTCTTTGTCCTCTCCTAATCATCCAGCCTGGCGTCCATGTCCCCGACTTAACCGCTCCCGTACAATAGCGGGGTTTTCCCCCCATTTACAAACCCGGTCAGTTAGGGTAGAACGCCGGTCACGGCCAGGCGACCGGTACTGTCTCCTATTCGGCCACGGTCAGTCCCGATTCAGGTGAGAGGGGGAATAACCCGCTAGCATTAACAATGACTCAGCTACAACATCCCCCCTTTCGCCCCTGCCATAACCCGTTTAGTCTCGTCGCATGTGTCGTCAAACCTAACCTGCAATCTACGTAAATCTACACCATCACACTTGCCTTAAACACACACAACCACTCTCTTCATGCATCGTCAGACACTACGACCCCCCCCCTGTCCCCATGACCCTCATTCATGATAAGCCCTTGACCCTTTTACCTGCTCCAACGATCTATTTCGCCCCCCTCCTCCCCTGACTCACTCCAAAATAAACTTAGTTTCGTTTGTTATTTTTTTCCCTTTTCTTATTGTATTTTTTTAATGTAACAAATGTGATAAAAACTATGTAAAACAACTATGTTTCTGAATATTCTACCATGTATATATGTTACCACAGACAACCGCTTTCACACACGTTTCATGTTAATTGTTTTAATTGAAAATAAAAGTATTTTTAGAAATCTAAAAGAACACTTATTTTCATGTAATTGTTTACTACTGAACACAATACTTTAGAATTTTTCTATTTAATTTTATAGGTTGTGCTGATGCTAGAATTGACATTGTGTTTGTTCTTGATGCCTCAACCAGTGTAACAGCACCAAACTTTGAGTTGATGAAAGACTTTATGAAAGATTTCCTCTTGGAATCTAATATTGACAATGGCAATGTTAGGGTAGGTGTTATCATCTACAGTGATAAGGATTATGTCAAGTTCCAGCTGAAAGATTTTTCAAAGAAAGAAGATGTATACAATGCTATTGATAATATTCCTTATAGCTATGGCAGCACCAACACTGCAGATGGTTTGAAAGCAATGAGGACAGTAATGTTTACTGCAGAGAATGGAGATCGTCCAGGTGTTGACAACATTGCTATTGTGGTGACTGATGGTGCCTCCAACATCAACAGCAGAAGAACCATACCAGAAGCTGAAGAAGCCAGAGCACAGGGTATTCACATCTATGCTATTGGTATTGGTCTGATAGAGACCAAGGAGTTGGATGGTATTGCCAGCAAGCCAGTGGAAGAAAACAGATTTGCAGTACACGTCTTTTCAGAACTCATAACACACAGGCATCAAGTTTTCTCTGCTATGTGTAAGCTTTTATGTTGTTAACAATTCAAGCAATTTACTCTTTAGCTGTATTGAAAAACATGTTATTATATTATTACAAGAACACTTCTTTTAAATATAACTGAAACATTTTGTTTTTATAAATCTCTGTGAAAGAAATATTTTAATAATATATACAAAATGTATACCTTTTAAATAACGTTTTTAATTAAAATGCTTAATTTCGCCAAACGCCATTTTTTGTTGTTGTTGATTTTTTAAATTAATTTTTATTTGGCTGGACGACATTGATATTAGTCTTTCTTTTATTGCCATACATTATTTTGATAAATACAAATGCTAGCTGCAGTGAGGTTAACACAATAAGTAATAAAACAGATAGTGTTAGATACCTCACCAGTTAAAGACAGTTACAAATATTATGCGCATTTCGACGTCTTCGTCAGCACACACCAGTGTGGTTACAGATTAGATAGAAAAGACAAACAGTAAAACAATTTTGGACTTAGCTCGACAGTGAAAACACGTCTTGTCTGCAAGTCACGATATCCAAAAGAAAAGCCGCGTGAAAAAGGACGCTTGGACACCGTATAAGTAGTATATCAGGTCACTTCTGGACCGCAGGCGCCGGCGGGACAACGAGATATAGTAAAATACTCCGGAAAAACTAAATATGATAAGACGTTAGCATACATAGCATTCAATCAAATCACTCTAAAGTACAAATCAATAACATTGTCTTTCTAAATTATGTTTTAACTTGTTAAAGAAATTGAATGTTTAGCATTCTGACGAGTTTTTTTTCACATAAGGGACGTTAGTCGTGACTGTAAACAAGGTTGTTCTAATTTTAGAACACTTGTCTTGCCTCTCGTTTCTCTATTAGGAAAGACACGTGGGGACGACACGCGACACGTAATTTAAAATGTAAACAAGCGTGCACGGGGTGCATTTAAAATAAACCCAGCTGCGCACATGACAACGGCATAGTGACACTTTTTGGAAAACACTCTTTCATGTAAATAAAATAAGGGTCGCTTTTGTTGTGACCATGATAATGTATACCTATGAGTTCTCTCCGCCTTTACCGACCTAGTATGAATTTCGCCTGTGTGTGTGTGTGTGTGTGTGTGAATGTGTGTGAATGTGTGTACGTGTATCTCAAAAAAGCTTATCATGTCAACGCCTGGACAACAAGTCATAGTCAAAAAGGCCTAATTCATTACAGATCTATGGGAAACCCGCCTTTACCTGTACTTACGTTAGGGAAAGTAAACTCGGTTGAATCAAAAAATGCATTTAAATATATAGAGTTATAGAACCTTAAAGTTAACAGAGGATGAAACAATAAAAAAATTAAAATAAGTCTAGTACAAGAAAACTTAAAAACAAGGTAAGGAAAAAAGCTCTAGAGCCTCCGTTAAGTGTGGCGCCCAACACACGAGATCGACGCGGTCGATCAACATTGTTTCTTTACTCGATCAAAAACCCTATGACACTGTACGTATAACTGTTAGTGGAAAGTGTGGCGCCAGCTGTCGCATGTTGGCAAATGCTTCGCGGAGAAGCCCTTAGTGGATTCCCATTCATCAACATACGCCCTATGGTGTTCGCTTTTCCAATGCATTCACTGCCCGCCATAAATCAACCGCGCCTGTCAAAAGGAAAGGTTCGCTGGTGGGTCGATGCATGCCTGGTGTCGTTAATGACTAGCAGCTGTCTTTAAGTCAGGCCCTATACAAAGAATTTTCTATTTTTGTACACGTTCGTTGTGGAGGAGAATTTAATAAATTAATAAAAACATACAGAGAAATAAAATTAATTAAACCAAACAAATAAACAACAATTAAACAAATAAACAAATATAAAATTTAAAATTAAAAAATAAAATTTTAAAATTTTAAAATTTTAAAAATTTAAATTTAAAAAAATCAAAATAATTAAAAAAATCAAATTTAAATTAAAAAATAATAATTAAACTAATTAAAAAATAAACAGACAAAATATAAACAAAGTAATTAAATTAAAATAAAAAATAAAAAATCAAATTTATTAAAATCAAACAAATAATCAAATTACATAATTAAATTAAAAAATAATAATTAAACTAATTAAAAAATAAACAAACAAAATATAAACAAGGTAATTAAAATCAAATTAATTAAAATCAAACTAATTTTTTTAAAAATCAAATTTAAATTAAAAAATAATAATAAAACTAATTAAAAAATAAACAAACAAAATATAAACAAAACAATTAAATTAAAATTAAAAATAAAAATAAAATTAATTAAAATCAAACAAATAATCAAATTACGTAATTAAAGTAAAAAATAATAATTAAACTAATTTTTAAAAAAATTCAAACTAATTAAAACTAATTAAAAACTCATTAAAAACTCATTTAATACTAATTAAAAACGCATTAAAATTACGTAACAAGAGCACCGGCGGTGATTACGTCACAAGGTCACCGGTGGTGACCTACTTACCTATTCCCCCTCTCCCTGCGCCTGCGCCTTCTTCCCCCCCCCCCCCCTCACCATCTGGGGTATTTTACTATATGTCATTGTCCCGCCGGTCTGCGCCTTCGCCTGCGCCTGGAGTATTTTACTAAACTCGTTGTTCCGCCGGTTCCCCTCCCCCTCCGGAGTATTTTACTATATCTCGTTGTCCCGCCTGCGCCTGCGCCTGCGGTCCAAAAGTGACCTAATATACTACTCGTATAGGGGTGGGGTTGGGGCGTGGTGTATTGGGGGGGGGGGAGTTGGGGTTGGTTAGGTTACGATCTGGTGACCGTGTGCAAAATTTAAGTATAAGTCGAGCTTCAGTGTTTAGGCGGATTTAAAATTATGGCAAAACCGAACAACGTTTACACAAAAGTCACTTTTTATATCGCGCCCACTCTTGTTAAAGGGTTTGGCCAATCATTGTTGATTGAACGCAGGTGTTGAATAACCATGTCAGACAATCGTTTCCCCGTTTGTCGAATATAAAAGATGTTGCATCGCCTGCACTGGATAACATAAACTACGTTACGGGACTCACAGTTGAAGTGATTTTTTTTTTATTTTGAGGGTTCCCTTAGGCAGCTGAAGTGATTCAGCCTTAAGGGTGAAATGACACGTATTGCAGTTGCGGGAACAAGAAGTAGTGTCACACCTTGTGGTGAAAGTGGGTGGCAGGCGGCCCCGGACTAAAAGATCTCTAAGATAGCGTTCCTTTCTTAACACCACCAAATAATTCTGTTGAAATAAATGGCCTAAATGGGGGTCTGACTTATGGGTAGAATAATGATGTTTTTAATGATGTTTTTAGCAAAAAACCGAATGAGGATGGTAGAGTAAACGCTACCAATGTTGCAACGACCGGATTCTACAAACCAACCAACTCACACTCATATCTGCTGTACTCTCCTTCAACCCCCCCCCCCCCCTCGGCCTGCAAAAATTCAATGCCATTCTCACAATCATTAAGACTACGACGTATTTGTCAAGATGATGATGACTTTTGGAACAAATCCCATGAGCCATAACAATTCTTCCGACTCCGGTCATACCCGGAGCATATACTCCAGTCAGCACTACACCGCATAAGGCCATACCCGGAGCGTATACTCCAGTCAGTACCACACCGCACAAGGCCATACCCGGAGCATATACTCCAGTCAGCACTACACCGCATAAGGCCATACTCGGAGCGTATACTCCAGTCAATACTACACCGCATAAGGCCATACCCGGAGTATATACTCCAGTCAGCACTACACCGCATACCTGTCATTGTATCTATTTTTGGATATAAAAGTTCAACATTTATATCAATTGTCAGATTTTGAATATTACGTTTAATGCAAAGATATTTTTAGAAGTAAAAATTTCATTTTCATGTTATCTTACTTGTGTGTTTTTTTTTTCAGCGAATGTATTAATTACACATTTAATAAAGACTAAAAACTAAAGCTGTAGTCCAACGATGCCACATAATCATGTCGTCTTAAGTTGTTGTTCTTTTTTTTATTTTGACTAATTCTTTAACATAATACATTTTTATACATATTTAGAGCTGCAGACTGTGGATAAGATGGTTTGTAAATTCGATAATTAAATCAGGCATTACTGTGAGCACCAGCGTTTATGTTTGTGTTAATGTTTATGTTCGCCTTATGTTTGCGTGTGTGTTTTCCTTTTGTGTTTGGTTGCGTGTTTGCGTTCGTTTTTGCGTTTGCGTTACGTTTCCAATTGCATTTGCATTTTTGTTTGCATTTGTGTTTCTGTTTGCGTTTTCGTTTTCAATTCTGTTTGCGTTACGTTTGCGTTTTTGTTTATATTTGTGCGTATGTTTGTGTTTGTGTTTGGATTTGTGTTTGCCTTTGTGTTTGCGCTTGTGTTTGCGTTTGTAATTGCCTCTACTTTTGTGCTGGCGTTTGTGTTTTGGTTTGCGTAATTATATATATATATATATATATATATATATATATATATATATATATATATATATATATATATATATATATATATATATATATATATATATAAAAATTATGGGCCTTTATATATTATAATTTGTAGAGTGGTGAGATAGCGATAGCTATATCAGTAGACATAAAGATAAGGAACAGGAAGGAAATTGGACAAGAGATAAGGAAATTGTGTAATGGATACGGATAATTATAGTGATAAGAATAGGGATAATTATCCGAAGATATTCTACGAACTGTCAGTACAGTACACAGTGAAGATAATGTAAATCTATTAGATCGAGATCTAGATCGTTGACAGACTAGATAGAGGAAGCCTAGTATGGTCTGTGAATTCTTACTTTAGCAGTTTAATTGACTGGACACAAACGATCAGGTAGGCAAATATTGATCTAGAATCTAAATGTAATCAGCCTACCTAAAATATAATATAGGCCTTGTTGTTAGGTCTAGATCTAGTTCTTTGGCCTACAACTTAAAACTGCTAATTACTTAAACTACTAGTGTTTACAACTGAGTATTTCACTACGCCAACGGTAGGCCTCATGTTATAGTATTACAGAGTTATAAAACTCTAGAGATCGAGTATTTTCTTTTTAGAATTAGTATTAGTTTTAGTATAAAAATTAAAAATAAACTATCACTATTAATAATTACATTACTCTACTCGTATTAGTATTAAAGTATGAGCTAGTTAGTAGAATACAAAAAAGAAATGTTTGAGTTTTTTTTTACCCAGAAACCACCTGAGATATCTAGAGTAGAACGTCTGCTTACTATTGTTATTGACACATGTTAATGGTGATAGCTGACACATGTTCATGCTATCAACTTTCAGTAACAGATTGTACTTTTGGTATTTTGTATCTATATTGTATCTAGCATAACATTTGTATCGAAGAAAATACCTGGACAACAAAAGGATTGTGTGAGCAAATTATCATGTTTTCCATGCTTTTTGTTTATCTAGTTTAGGGGGGAAGGGGTGTAGGAAAAAAGTCACAGAAAAAAAGTCACAGGAAAAAAGTCACAAATGTATATTTTCACGGAATTTGTTAATACTTCTATGTATTATGTATTCAAAAAGTGCAAATCAAGTTGCGTTAATTAAACGTAATGTATTGTGCGTATGTTGTATACATAAAATAATGTTTATAACCCGTAACTATTTAGTGTGAAGTATGTACGCTTTAATTCCTTTATACATATAATATTAAATAGAACTTAATAGAATGAGCTGACCCGCAACGTAGCATACGCCGCCATCTAATTTGTTTATTTTCTACTTATCAACAATTCATAATTTGTGAATTCGACACTACCCCCCCCCCCCTGCCTCGGGATGTACCACAGCTCACCTGACAGGTGGGGATGATGGTGGTGGCTAAGCTGCGTGGTGTTTTCTATGGTCTCCATGAAGAGAATTATATAATAGAAGGTTTGTTACACTAACTTTAAATTAGGGCAAAATGGCATAAAGGCGTAGTTAATGTGACAAAGCAAATTATCAAATGTATGTAAATTTATAAAGAACTAATAATATTGCGTACTATTATGCACATTCATTTGGCGTTCACTTGGTGTGCAATTCTTTTTTCTGCGAGATTTTATTATATTTTAAAAACTTTAAGTATTTAAATTGGAGTTCCCATCCCCTGTTGTTTCATATAAGAATATTCGAGAAAGTTTAGGGGAGATCACTCCCGTTTTATTTTTCCTAGCATTAAAAATTGTGACTTCCGTTCTGTGTTTTTTCTCCTGTGACCTCTTTCCGTTTACCAGGGGAAGGGGAGAGAGAGAATGAAAGCCGTCACCTTGTCACTTTGTTCGTGGACTGTCCTTGTATTATTTCAACTATGGATAAATACTTGATTGTCTCAACTCCAAGATGTGTACATATTTGAAATAAAGCTATAACGTTCAACCACATAGAATTGCTACATTTGTGTCAGAAGTGGTCTTCTAATATTGTTATTAGAAATGGAATTATCAACTATTGACATATTTAAATAAGAAGTGGTCTAAAAATCCTATTAAAAGTGATACTATTCAGTATTGTTACACTGTGACATTGGGTGTCATAAGAGTTCTTCAGCATACGACGTATGTTATCAGCACAGTGACAATTGGTGTCCGAAATGTTGCTTCATTTGAAGACATAATTTAAATACACTTTTCTTGAAGAATTCTATAAAGAATATAGCAGTAAAATGTTGTTCTGTAATGGATTTAACAGATCAAATTTAACATTTTTAACTGTTTCCTGATTTATAAACAGGTAGTCTATAATGTATACAAGTAGCGGAAAATATAATATCTAAAACTTAAGGATAGACACCACGGATAGATTTTTTTTTATTTAACATGATTCAGTGTGTTTAATAGATTCATATATTAATAGTCGTTAACCTATAGACAAAAATTGCCATGGAAACCACGAAAAGGTGTGAACAATAACACCTTTTCCACCCTCTATAACTTTGTTTTTTTTTTTAAAAAACTGATGACACTTTTAGATTTCTCAAACCAAACTATATGTCTACATTTATTCATTGCGATACCTCATATTAAATTTTAATACAAATTTTTGCATAAAACTATGTACAAAAATTAGGGGGTGGTGCTACATAAATATTAAAAATTACCTAAAATATTGCAGTAAACTCAATGTACAAACCATGTAATGTAGATAGTATAATGATGCTAAATGTATGTGGAAAAATTCTATCTTATGTGACAAAGGGTTCCAAAGCCTTAGCGATTTGAATGTTGAATTTTGATTAAAAATGCAAAGTTGAGAAAACTAGAAAAGAAGGATGGAAAAAGTCACTGAGCGTTTCCTCTTATAGAAAACAGAAAGAAAAAGACCTCTTGCTTTATTTGACAAATCCATTTGACTATTAAACATGTGTTGACTTATGTTATAAATTTTAGACAGATTTTTCTATGTAAGCATAAAATATGTATACAACAGGTAATGAATTAATGACTATTAAGTATTACATATCCTATTCATCGAGTGTTATTCTCAGATCAACTATCAACGAACGAGATAAAGTTATGTTTCTTAGCCGGTCTTCCCACTTCAGTACAATGTCTATCCCTACTTAAATTGTAGCTTGCACAAGTTTATTGCCTCTTGATAATAGCCTACTACAAAAACCTGGGTGGGGAAGCGCTTGAGGCTTCAAATTTTGGGCTAGGAGCACGTTTTATGCAGGAAATAGATAACATATTATGGCTTTTTTTTTATCTAAGCAGTTCACTGAACACAAACCGAGAGAACTTACTCTACCGTGGGAAAATTAATGTTTCGCCATTGTATGGTCAATGACCAAACTACAGGAATACTTATTGGGGGGAACTTAAGTGATCAAGAAACACTTGATTACAGTAATGCTGATCACAGTAATGATATGATGTGATAATGATGTGGCCCAGATTATACTTAAATGGGTCAACTGAGGGGGAAAAAAAGGAAATTGCTCAAGCGTGGTAATGAAATGACTTGTTTATAAGGAAGGCTATCATTGAATTTGATTTAGTTAATACAATTTATAAGATGAATTTATTTGAATTTATTTGTGATATTAATATGAAAATAAGTCCTGTGCCAAATTAATTATCGGCTTATTTTGGTTTACTCATTTGACGTAGTGTTTTTTATGCTACAATCACTTGGTGATTGGGGTTTATTTTTATATTAAACATTATTTATGTAATCCCCGTTACATATAATGCTATTGCACTTTTTAAAAACATGTCAACCACTGACACATATTAATATCAGATTAAAATCATTATTGATTTTGTTTAACGGGATATGCTCCTTACAACATCACCTAATTCCTGTGGGTTTTTTTTTTCATGATGTGTTTCTTACACCTTTGGATATTTTGTCCATTTCTGTATTAAGAAAATAATAATCTTAATGAAACAAAACTCTACGAAACGTTTTATATCCGTCATCATATTGCATTTCACATCATTGGAAAGCTGCATTTCTCAAGTGTTTGATAAACGTATTTTCATTCAACTCGGAAACACCCAAAGCTTGAAATCGGCATTACAAATATCACAGTTATGGTATTTTCGTGACCTACTTTTTGTTACTTTTTGCTATTTTTCTCAGTTCGCAGATTTTTAACACTAAAAAGCCAACTATTTTTTTTATTTATCAAAACAATTCACACCAAATTTTCAGTAATTGTTTTTCGTTTAAAAATAAAACTTTTGTCACGAGGGAATTTGCTGGCTTTCAAAGAAAAAGGTATAAGTATGCAAATTTTTAGACTTTTGTTTACTAAAAATGGTACGATGTTTCAGACCTTGTAAAACTCTGACCAGTAGCTCTTTCGAAAAGTTAACGTGACAAAAGTTTTAATATATACCGAAATACAAGCAGTTTAAATTTGATTGCTCTATATGCATAAATAAAAAGAGCCCTAGCGTTTTACAAAGTACCGAAAAATTCAAAATGGCGGAGTTTTTTTCGGGTTTCCAAAATTAACCAAAATTCTTTTTAACCCTTATTTTGCTGTTTTATATTTACTTTCATTTGCCAAACATGGAAGAAGTGTTCAAAAGGTTTTAGACCTTAAATTATAGAAAAATAAAAATAAATGGAGCGTATCCATTTAAGGTTTTGTGTATGAACTATCTGATTGTTTTTTTGTGCAACAGTAGAATAAAATTTGTGAACATTTCCTACATACTTATTGATCTAAACATGTTGTCTTGAAAATTCTTCAATTTTTATAATCCAGAAATTATCTAGTGAGTGATAAAATCACCACACGCTGCTGAATTTTCTGAACAATAAACAGATTCATGGCATTGCAAAAGATTTCAATGGAGAAAATTTCATTGAGATACGTTCAATTTGAAGGAACTAATCAAACAATTACCACTAACTCATACATTGTAGTAACGAAATAAAATTCAGTGGTTTTCTGTCCCCTACCTACAAAATATGGCCTGATTTTTTTAAAGCAAGTAGTACTCTATTCTGCGGTAACGTTTAAATCTAAGACAACCTGCTTCTGTTTTCAGCAGAACCTCGATCTACTTATTCTATCACTTTTAAAACATACTTTTTTTTTCTTTCCTATATGCCAGAAAAAAAATGGACACTAGTGGCCTGGCCAGGGTAGCGATTGTCCTTGTTTACCTGCTCTCTGTTGGCACAGGTATGTTGGGATGATACAATATACATGTTATTTATATATATATACCGCAAAAATTGTAATACACACATATGTATATATATATATGTGTGTGTGTAAGTGTGTGTGTGTAGCCTATATGCAGTAGCTCCCCAAAAAATATCATCTGGAACCCCGCTCTAGCTAAATCTGCCTCTGCATATTATAGAATTTTAGTTTAGGTTGTTATGATGGCATGTTAGAAATAATTGTGTTTCTCTTTTATGCCTAAATTAGTGTAACATCATTAGTCACCATGTTAATTATGCATAAGTTTTTAAAAGTTAGATGGTGTAGATGGAATGAAAGAATAAGAAAAACCTATTTTTCATACACACTTTATTTCCATGAAAATGTATAAAACTGATAACATCGCTTAGAGACACTATTCCTTTTCTACGGGCCTACCAACAACAGTGACTAGTAATTTATTTTTAAACCTAATAGCGCATACGTTGCGTTATTTCCCATAAAATCTTATTATCTTCGTTATGATAACAGGAGTTTATGTTCTGGCATCGGGTGACGCTTTCATTGTTTTAGTTTTCAAATTAATTTTAGTCAAATGCAAACTAAAATAGAAAACGTACATAAAATACCTTCTTGTAATGTTTATTTTCATCAAATCAGCGGAACCCTTGTGGAGCAAAGGGATGCAACCACACCTCTCCATTATACTTGGTGTATGTTACCAAAATTACACAATTATTTTACATTATTTGTTGCTAGCTGATTTATTTTACCTATATTAAAATATTTTATGTAGGCATTTTGAGCTTCTGAATTAGGAGGCAGAGATTTAACCCCATTATTGCAACAATACTATTTCTTTATTGTCACAAGCAATTATTAATTACATTACATGGCCATTATCTAAGGAGGGCGGGACAGAATGTTGAAAGAACTTGCACCCAAATACAAGTACATTACGTGTCATAATTTTTTACTGTATCTTTACCTTTATGAGCCATGTCAGAAGAAACAAAGGTGTAAAGAAAGGGAATGTAGTGAGGACCATGTCAGAAGAAACAAAGGTGTAAAGAAAGGGAATGCAGTGAAGACCATGCCAGAAGAAACAAAGGTGTAAAGAAATGGAATGTAGTGAAGGCAGGTGGCGTCGCTAGGTCGTGTGTCACCAGATGGTGTCACCCCACTCCTTTTTTACTATAAAATTTGGATTTGTTTTCATCCCCCCCCCCCCACCTAAAAGCTGTAAAGTGTTCGCATTTAATACTAATGATGTTTTTATATAGCCGGTTATTAATACGGCTGGGTGTAACATTGTTTTCTCTATCGTTTGCATGTTTACCTCATAGTGTCACCTTTCCACAATTTGCTTAAAATGACGAACCAAGATAATCTCACACAGTTCGTGGTTCTTAGGGCTCTCAAAATAAAGAAAGTGGAAAAAGTAGCTTACAACTTTGATAGACACATTTACCTTTGCCGCACCATTAAATTTACAGTCCAACAACGGTCGGGAATTTGCGAAGGTATACTGAGTCACTTTGAAGGTATACTGAGTCACCTTGATGATTGTACATAGGAGGCCGTGCCACTCGCAAAGCCAGGAAAGTTTGGGAAACAGTTAACCAAGACATCCAAAATATGCTGTCTACGTGGATGAAAGATGAAAAACTGACCACTAGTGCGAGATAATACAATTAGTGCAACGTATGAAAAACAGGCCTTTCACCGTGAAAATTAAAGAACACATTATGAAGCTTTCTTTGGTTGTAAGTATAAAGTGGGTTTCACATCTAAGCCACCACAAGATGTTTTACAAGACGTTGATAGTGAAGAGTCTTACTATGTAGCCACGTGTTGTGTGTCTAAAGAAAATCATCTGCACCCACGCGTGCATAAAGCGTTGATGAAACTTTCATGCGATCTAATAAAGATGTTGACTGTGAGGTAATTGTAGGTTATAAGGTCCATATTTGATGCATTATTTATTTTAACGGCGAGAATGCCCTAGAAAATAAGAGACAATCGAAAAAAGATCTGCATCTTTGGTAGACACTGTGCGGGTTTCTATTCATGACGTATTCAAGGGAGGCGGGGACCACGTATCTGCAAGCAGTGGCTATGTCGTGACAGAAGATTGCTGTTACCGACATGGAGCAGTGCGAGGAATTTCGAACCAACTCTACGCAAGATCACAATTCCATTTTTGTCCAAAGGGCTTGTTCAAGAATGAAGATGTTCCTGACCACGAAATACCTCTTCGATCTGCTGCTACTGCTCAGTCCACATGAACTAGCTAAAGATTTTTGATGTGTATGTGCAAGACAAAGTGCTTAAAGATTAAATAACCTTGCGTAAAAAAACAAAATTCAAATTGCCATTTTTTGTTTATTTTGTATTGTTTCTTTCATTTTTTGACTGTCACTAAAAGCTTTTGGAATCCGGGCAATTCATAATTTGCCTGATCAGTTCTTGTCATTTCTTTATAATGCCTAGGCATTTTATATGATGCCTAAGAAAATTAAGTAACAACACCGATATTTCACATATTGCCTGAAGACACAAGGATTGTATACCTTGCCTAGGCATTCTATAGAATGTCTGGTTTTCAAAAATTGTTGGTAACATAAATAAAAATATAACAATAGAGATGAACTGTAAATAATGGAATAAAAATATATATATATATTTAAAAATGAGAACAATTTCATGAATGTTTTTGTAAATATCATTAGGCTGTGTTGACGCAAGAGTTGATCTTGTGTTTGTTCTTGATGCCTCAACCAGTGTAACAGCTACAAATTTTGAGATGATGAAAGATTTTATGAAAGATTTCCTCTTTAAGGCTGATATTGACAATGGCAATGTTAGGGTAGGTGTTATAATTTACAGCACAGTGGAATATATCCAGTTCCAGCTGAAAGATTTTTCAAAGAAAGAAGATGTATACAATGCTATTGATATTATTCCGTATCGCTATGGCGACACCAACACTGCAGATGCTTTGAAAACAATGAGGACAGTAATGTTTACTGCAGAAAATGGAGATCGTCCAGGTGTTGACAACATTGCTATTGTGGTGACTGATGGTGTCTCCGACATCAAAAACAAAAGAACCATACCAGAAGCTGAAGAAGCCAGGGCACAGGGTATTCACATCTATGCTATTGGTATTGGTCTGACAGAGACCAAAGAGTTGGATGGTATTGCCAGCAAGCCAGTGGAAGAAAACTCATTTTTTGTACAAGACTTTTCAGAACTCGTAGAACTTAGAGATAAAATTTTCTCTGCTGTGTAAGTTTTCAAATTTTAATAATTTTTGGGGCCAATCTATCTATCTATATATCTATCTATCTATATCTATATATATATAAAGCAATGTATGTGTGTGTTTGTGTTTGTTTGTTTGTTTGTCCTTTATGCATTACTTAACCTCTCATCACATCGCCGTGAAACTTTGGGAAGTTGTTGAGAATATTCCTGGGGAGGTTTCTGCGAAAAAAAAATGTCAAATTCCTGGTCGTTCCCGTGAGCGCTATGGCGACTACGGTGAGTCTAAACAGCGTAATAGACAATGGATAGAATGTGGCTTTACAAACACTCACTAAATTTAATCAGGCGTGTCCGCCGGCGCCCTGGTAGAGTGCGATTTGGCTGCAAACAAAAATGTCAGTTTCGGTCCCCAAAGGCTCAGATTTGCCGCTAAGGGCCATGTAATAAGTGTTTTATCTTAGTAATCAGAAAAATTAACCAAGATTAGATTATTGACTGGGATTTTTCCTTTTGTCTGTAAAACAATCCAAACAGTTTCGTCACTTTGCGAATGATACAATTAGCATCTATTTTTAGACAATCCAATCAGGAATTGAGATCGAGCTTCTACTAATTGACCATTAGTAACGCTAACATATTGCATCAGTCACACTGTTGTTTAAAACACGTCAAATAGTTTTTTATGTGCTAAAGAAAAAAAATCCTGTTCATTTGTGTCACTTTAGCGAATGACGCAATCTTCATCTTTGTTAACAGTATGCTATTTTGCACGATGACGCCTGTTAGTTTAAAGGAGCCAGGGGCCGTACGTGGCGCCTAAGTTGTAGTGAAATGGGGGGCGGGCTCCCGAGAGCACCCCTCTACGTCCCTGACACATGGGCGGTCACCGACGTGTGTTCTACCTGATTATTTCGGTGAGTGATTAATGTACACACAAGGTTTTCACGCGGTAGTGTTGGTAAACCCGTGTCCCGATATCTATAATCCAAGCGCAGGCATTGTTTACATTTAAATAACTCACTTTTAGAAAACAAGTTCATGTGTCTAAGAATTCGTAACGCATAAATATATATCTTATATATTTCGTCGGACTTTCTTCTTTTCCCGCGGCAACGCGCGGGGACGGATACGCTAGTGATTGATAAAGCCGTCTTTACTGTCAAAATCACTAAACAAATAATGTGCATTTTAGGGACTATATTACTCAAGTACTTATGTTAATAAGCTAATTTTTTAATACCAGGTTCAACATCTGCACTTATTCGAACTGAACCACCACCACCACCACCAACATCTACAGTAAAAGCTGTTGTTAGTAAGTATTTGGTTAAAATTTTATATAATCATTTTTTGTGTATTTCAATGTGTCACTAGAAAGAAAATTGTGGTCAACAATGTTTTTATGATTATTTTAAAAGAATCACAACCTGTTATTTGTCCATGCATGCAGTAAACATTTGATCCAGTCTTTTCATGTAAAACAGTTTTTTTACATAAAACCAGTGTTTGTTAAAACATATTTAACCTATTAAGTTTATATTCTAAACCGGGAGCGATCTCCCCTAAGCTTTCTCGAATATTCTTATATAAAACAACAGGGTACGGCAACTCGGGATATAGACATGATTTTTAATCCATTTTGAATACTTAAACGTTTTAAAATAGAACAGAATCTCGTTGAAAAAAGAATTGCACACCAAGTGAACTCAAAAAAAAAATGTGCATAATTGTGCGGAATATTATTAATACTTTATAAATTCACATGCGTTTTTTGAGAAATCGGAAATAGCGTAAATTACTACTTCTGGTCAACGGAAATTACCCAAAATTTGACATAAGGCAGAGAATAAGCTCTTTCACTTACTTGTGAAAACTAACTTATCTATCTGAAATAGTATTCAAGTAATGGGCTTTTGAAAAATTCGAAGTAGAAAAAGTTTCACTTTCGGTTATCAGAAATTGTTCAACAGTTGATACGTATCTATGATTTTGATAAAATATTTATATATAAAATTTCATCAACCGAGCTGTAACGGTACTCAAGTTATCGTGTTTACAGACACACACACGCACATCCACACACACAGTTATACACACACACAGACATACGGACAAGATTGCTAAACTATATTTTTCCGACTCATGGAGCTATAAAAGCTTTTTTTTTTTGCACGATTACAATACTTTCTCTATACTTCGTATATACGAGAAAGTAAAAAAGTTAAAAACACAAGTGTAACAAGACTTTCTTTAAGAAAAAATCATTGAGTAAACTGTTGCATGTTTAGAATACAATCCAACTTGATTTCAGCAACACAAATATAGGAATAAAAAATAAAAAGCAGAAGGCCCTATATTAAATAACTTCATTAAAAAATGAAATAGCTGTTTTGATTATAGTTTGTCCTCTGAGAACAAATGACACATTTATACTAAAAAATATAACTAAAACAAAAAGAGGTAATAATAATGTCACAATGTTTATGCTTTATTTTTTTTTAATCAAAAGGTTTTTTTTTTTAAATTCAAGTAGCTACATTCAAATTTATGCAATGAAAAACTAAGTAGAAATCCTTTAAAGAAGAAGACAATAAATTTTGCAAAAACGAATGTTGATTAAAAAGGAAAATTATAAAATAATAATTTTTCCTTTTTTTAAAAACTTTTTACGCAATCTGTATAGTTTGATTTATCATATTGAGAATGGAAAGTTTTGAAAATGTAGAAGCTAATATAAATGTTAAAATATCTTAAACAAATCTTAGCTGTGCTGGTGCTAGGTTAGATCTCATGTTTAATCCTAGTGAATTGTAAAGCAATTTAAAAAACGATCTTCAACTTGCTATGTAAGAATGGTGTGTCAGAATAAAAAATCTTGCTAATAAATATTTATATTTGTATTTTTATTTGGAAAACATTCATACAAATATTGTGTGGACATAAATGTACATCATAATGAAAAAAGGATACACAAACATTTTTTAACAAACTAAATTCATCATTTTCTACGCAACGTATTTATGTTGATCTTTGAACTAATCAAAAGGAAAAAAAATTAATTATTGTGAAGAATAAGAGTTTTTAAAATCTTACGAGTCACCTAAAAACAAAAAGACTAAAATGTAACTGCTCTCTGACTCAAGCTGCTATTTGTATTCAAGCTATTGATAACTATTTTATTATGTTTCAATTACTTTTTGTCAGTGCCATAAGGCTAATGAATTACAGTTTTTATGCAAATAGTTCATGTTACTAGCCTAAGGTTATAATTACAGTAGTAAGTAGGTATTACGTTGTATATTAATATCTATTTTTATAATGTATCAATTGTTTTTATTCTTAAATTTAAAATATGATTATACATTATTTTTGAAAAAAAAAATCTATAAATAGGTGGAACTAAATCACCTACAAAAGTACCAGTTAGTAGATAGTTTTTTTTATGTTTACATTGCCTACCTCATGCACTTTATATTCTTAATTCAAGAATCACCTGTTATTTATCCCTGCATGCAGTAATCATATGTTCCAGACTTCTCATGTAAAACCGTTTTCTTTCACAAATTCAGAGTTTGTTATAACATATTTAGCCTATTTTGTGTATTTAAAAAGTTAAGAATACCAGTGCAACAAGATATTCTTTAAGAGAAAAATATTGAGTAAAATGTAGCATTTTTAGAATACAATCCAACTTGATTTTAGAAACACAAATTTAGGAAGAAAACAAAGGCGTATAATAAATAACCTCATTAAATATTAGCTGTTTTGACAATAGGCTGTCCTCTGAAAAGAAATGACACATATATACTTAAAAATAACAGCAAAACAAAAAGGCGTTATAATTATGGTTTTAACAAACTGAAATTTATATATGAAAATATAAAAATGTTTGTTTTATTTTTTTTTCAAGTCAAAAAGGGTTTTCCGATTCAAGTAGCTACATTTAAATTAATGCAATTAAAAAAAGAAATAGAAATCCTTTAAAGAGGTAGACACAAAATTTTGCAAAGATGAATGTTTTTTTTTAAAAGGTAAAAGATTAAAAAATCTTTCCTTTTTTTAACCTTATCGCAATCTGTATAGTTTGGTTCATCCTATTGAGAATGGAAAGTTTTGAAAATGTATAAGCTAAAATAAATGTTAAAAAACCTAAGCCACATCTAAGCTAGGTTAGAGCTCGTGTCTGTTTTAGTGAAATATAAAGTAATAATAAAATAAACTGTATTCTTGCTACGTAAGAATGGTGTGTCAGAATAAAAATTCTTTCTAAACAGTATTTATATTTGTATTTTTACTTGGAAAACATTCAGACAAATATTGTGTGTACATAAGTGTACACCAGTGTATAGTTTGATTGATCATATCGAGACAGAATATTTCTTAAATGTATTTTAAAAATCTAAACCAATTTAATTAAAAAGTTTATGGCTGTGCTAATGCTAGGTTAGATCTTGTGTTTGTTCTTAGTGTAATGTAAATCAATTTAAAAAAAAACTAAACTTCATGTTTGCTTGTGGGAATGATGTTTTCTTATCTCCGCCCACGTGAGCTCACTGGCCTTTGTCTCTTCTTCTACAATTCATCTCAACTGTTTGCCAGAGTTCCCTCCAGGCATCTCTTCTCCCCCCCCCCCCCACCCCCCCCCCCCCCCCCCCCCCCGAAGAAAGTCTACCCCCCCCCCCCCTCTGGAGAAAAAGTATGGAAGAAACACTGCTGTTTGCAAAACCACGTTCCTCCTTGCCTGGGGATTCCAGTCCAAAGCTTTCCTCGATATATTATCCTTTTCTCTTCTCATCAATTTCCGTTTATGGGCTTGATGCCTTCAGTCTCTATATGACAGTTTGTCTGGCCATCTTATGATGAGGTTATGTCGTAATTATCAGTTTGTGAACCAATAAAGCCTGTTTGTATATACCTTGGTAAACTCCTAGGTCTGTGAGCCTTAAAGTAATACTTTAATATTTGAGTATTCTTATCTTGCTCTGGCTGGCACACGGTAAGTCAAAATAAATTAAACCATGTTACAATGTTTACATTTTAGTAGGACAATACAGTTTTTACATAAACCATGCTACAGTAACATTATTAAAAAGTTTACGCATAATAATATTCTAAATAAATTAATTTAAAAATCACAATAAGTGAACCCCGTATGCTCTTGGACTACATTAAATGTATCTTTGTGTCACAGAGATGCAGACACTACACAACATATGTGTGAGCGAGGACAGCTAACTAATCTAAAGAGTTTTGTTTAATGTCTTACACATACATACTTACCCCCCCCCCCACAAAGTGACGACAATACCCTGTATCTTAATGGGGACAATTTAGTAAAGATCTGTACACGAAAGCCTTTACAGATTTAACGGTTTGTTGGCAATGCCATCCAATTATTTTGTGTCAGTCACCTTAATACCAATATCACAGACATGGATCTCTTAAGCTCGAGCTTCTTTAGCTTCTGCTTTGGTTCGCAGGTTATTAATCTTTGTTATACCATCAGTAATTTCAACTGCAATGTTGTCAACACCTGGACGATCTCCATTCTCTGCAGTAAACATTACTGTCCTCATTGTTTTCAAACCATCTGCAGTGTTTGTACTTCCAAATCGATAAGGTATATAATCAATAGCGTTGTATACAGCTGCTTTAGTTTTGTGTGTGTTAAGCTGGAACTGGACATAGTCTTCTGTACTGTATATGATAACACCCACTCTAACACTGCCTTTATCAATGTCTGCATCCACAAGGAAGTCTTTCTTAAATTGTTTGATAAGAACAAAGTTGGGCTCTCTTGAAATTGTTAAAATCATCAACCACTAAAATAAGATCCAGTCTAGCTAATGCGCAGCTCATAATAAATATGAAAGTATTTCACTGCATTTTACATTTGGTGCTTAATATTTTTTATCTATGCAACTCTATTGGTTTAAAAATTTTAAAGTACTGAAAAAAAGCAGAAAACGTTAATTGCAAACTTTTATATGATAATGCACTAAAAAGAGGAAATTCGTTTTTCCTTAAATATATAAAATATATATATTGAATACCTTTACTAATATTTAATAAGAGACCTATGTTTTTTCATATTTTTTTTTAATTTTTCTTTTCTTTTCTTTTTTTTTAAACGGTAGTTTACTACTATGTGAGTGTGTGCACAGAGGCGTAGCAACCCATTTCAATTTTACGCAGTAGCAAATTCGACTGTAATGTAGATCGGAATAAGCATGTTATTTTATTTTTCTACCCAATTTGGCGTCCCCTTTAGGTCGGTGCCTAGGGCGGCTGCCCCACCCGCCCTCACCTAGCTACGCCTCATTGAGTGAATGGTTCAATTGTTTTTCTTTAATATATGTTTTAGATATTTAAATATAAACACGTGTATAGTGTGCTCGCTTGTTTGGGTGTGTAGGGCTAACGTTCAGCGCGAACACACAAAAGGGTGAGAGGTGGTTTGTTATAGAAATACGTGTAATTTAAAATTGAGTAAAAGTAATATTCACGTTGTTTAGCCAATTTAGCTTTAACCTATATAGTCGCTACAAAACGGCATTAAAACGTTCGGTTTACAGCATCTGCATTATAAAAATAAATTATGACTGCCTCCAATTCCTGACTCCTTATGAAAAATAGTGGGTAACAAAACCTTTAAAATCGAGAGACATGCGCGATATTTCTTATATAGTAATAATAATATAGTTTTCTATTTAATTTTATAGGGTGTGCTGATGCTAGAATTGACATTGTGTTTGTTCTTGATGCTTCATTCAGCGTAGGAGTACGAAACTTTAAGTTGACCAAAGACTTTGTGAAAGATTTCCTCTTGGAATCTAATATTGACAATGGCAATGTTAGGGTAGGTGTTGTCATCTACAGCACAGAGGATTATATCCAGTTCCAGCTGAAAGATTTTTCAAAGAAAGAAGATGTATACAATGCTATTGATAATATTCCGTATCGCTATGGCAGCACCAA